TAGCATACTATAGAGCACGATGGTAATCTCGGAAATACTTATATCCCCCCAAGCACAATATTTAAGAAGTCTAACTCATATATACAAGAAGTCAGGCTGAATAGATATTGTGCATATGGTTTGCAGAACTCTCATGATATTTAAAATTCATGTTATCCCAAAAAAGGTGACACTTTGGGTGTATCGTCCATCCCAGGGATGCAAAAATCACATCACCTTGGATCTATACTTATATCCCATGAAAACTTCTGGAGCATATTGGTATCCGACATAGAAAATTCCATTGCAACCTTTCTTGTCAGACAACTTGGCAGAAGGTTTTATTTCAATGTCTTGTTCCACGTATAAGAATGAGTTGTCAATAGAAATAATATGAAACCTGTCGCAAGCAATATCTACTGTTGTTGAAGAACCTTCTCCAAACTCACCTACGTTTCCATAAGAAACAGCAGTTGTATATTCGTAAGTTCCAGGAACTATTTCTGACCTTCTAATGGCATTGTCGCATTCGTAGTTAGTATACAAGTCTTGGGTATGGTGGCACTGCGTTCCACTTTACCCAATACTTGTGAATTTGACACTTTACAAAACCGTTAACGTATATTTTACAACATGAACGCAAAAACTAACTTAACCTTAAATATTTACAAAGCTGCCAACCACTTCACTTCACTAACGAACTCACTAATGTAAAAATAAACGTTCTCACTATCGTTCTCACTAACGACTTCACTAATGTTCTCATAAATTTTCCTCAATATCTTCATCATCAGTGTTAACCCTATTGTAGTCATACTTGAAGCCATAAACTTTCTCTAACTTCTTAACGTACAATTTACATAACTTACCTTCGTCATCGTATGGTTTAATGATATAACTATTTCTATCTTTATACACAGTCAATGAAAAGTCAACTGGTCTCGGATGTATTTGAAAGAACATGTTATGCTCAGGAAGGAAGAATAAATGTTTAAATGTATGTTTGTTATACTGTGGAATTCGAATGAGTTGCTTTTGTTCTGTCATTTACATCCAAATAAAAATTTTTAGTAAAATAAAAAATAAACTTAAAAATAAATGATATCACCACCCTCACACGTATGAAAACATCCATTTAAAATTTAGGTGAAGTGGTGAGATCTCACCTCTTTTTTCACCTGTTTTTTCACCCTGTTGAATTCATTGCTTTATAACTCTCTTCCTTGGTTTCTTTTTAGTTGCTTTCTTCACGTCTGTCTCCAACTTGACTGTCTTTCTTCTTCGTCCGTAATGATACCAGTTACTTCCACCAGTCAATGGGTCAAATGGTCTTTCGTAAGGGTTTCCATACATTCCATAGGGACCATACGGAAGAACTACTGGTGGAGAAGAAACATTTTCTTTAGTTCCATCGACTCTATTTAAATGCATTGTTTCACCTTTCATCTGGTCATTAAAGTCTTTTGCGTGTTTTGCAAACTCATCGTCCTTTCCTAAAGCATTTTCTGACTCAGTCGCAACCAAATTGGATGCTTTATTTATGAGCCCTATTTTATTTAATCTTAACTTCTTTGCAACCCAGCCTCCAATCTTTCCTTTATTTGCATCTAATGTCTTCGAAACCCTTCCTCCACTCATTTTATTTACTGCGTCATAAGCTCCAAGTGCTTTTGCTCCAAATGCTAATGCTTTTGTTCCCATTGCGCCTAAAGCTGCCCAAGCTACCATTTACCCATATTAAAATCATCTCTCTTCAATATTATCTCATAAAAGTTCTCGTTACTGGAGAAAGTCAATGAAACATAAGCGTTCTCATGGGCTTCGCCCTCACCTTTGCGGTCTATCTAACTTCTTTCTTATCTCATCTATTCGCTTCAAAATGTCTGAACAATTGCTAACATCTTCTACAACAGTTATTTCATCATGAATGACTTTCAAGAACAAGCTCATTTAATATGCATTAAAATCATCTCAATAATGAGTCCATCCTTTCCATCTTTAGGTAGCACAACATCTTTCATTGAAGAAGGTTCGACAAGTCTTATGTTAAACTTACTGACAAAGTTTGTTATACTATAATGCTTCGGTGGCGAATACATGTAGTTTGAAAGACATAATATAGATTCTTCAGCAAATTCACTTATACTGGATTTTATAACAATGTTCTCACGAGACCAAATACCACCAATTGACAATCTTGTAAGCAATCCTGCTGAACCTTCAACTGTAAACGTCGATGGTAACATTCCCGAAGGTCATCTATTGACATCTTTGAGTCACTGAATTTAAATATTTTCTTAAAGCAATCGTCATTATCTAACCATGCAATAGCTTTGAAGTTTTCATTCGAATATACATCTGCTTCATTAAATGTAAATCCTGACTTCTTTGCAGAGATGACTTTAAAATCTATTGAGTTTGTTTCAAAATTATATGCTATGGTAACTTCTGAAGGTAATGGATGTCCTTCCGCAGTCAGTTGTTCTCTCACTACCGTTTGAAGCTTTGTATTAAAAACTTTCATGTCATCTCCTGTGTCTAGGTTCACATACACAGCAACAGGGAAACTATCTTGCTTCTTTGTTTCATCATTATATCTCAAAACATTAAAGTTCTTCAATAATATTGTTCTTCCTGCTGGAATACTTCGAACCTGTCTGATTTCAATAGCTTTCTCACCTCCTACATACTCTACCCAGTGTCTTGGATATTCATAAGTATACTGACTTTCTTGAATTTTGGTTGGTTTCATCATAACATGTTCATAGTATATCTTTATACTCTTGTCAGTTAGACTCGGTGCTATGTTCTGAATATTTCTGACTTGCATTTTTAATGGAGATAAAATGAAGCATTTAATACATGACGTAGATGAAGACATGAATGAAACTACAGACAAACTTAACTCTTCTCTCATTCTTCCTTTCAGTAAGGACTATGAGTTCTGTTCAAATGGTGTTTATTTCTATTGTGGAAAGATGGGTTCAGGTAAGACATTTAACCTCATTCGTCATATACTCATAACAGAGCGTTTAGGAAACGACTCTTACTATGACCAAATCATTATATCAGCAACTTCAGACTCTATGGATCAACAGCGAAAACATTTATGTCAAAAGTTCAAGCCTCTGTCGTTAAAGTTCCAGACAGTGAACTCATTGAATTTCTTCAACGTTACATTCGACGTAAGAGGAAATATTATGCCATCGTTGAATTTATACAGTCAGGAATGCAAAAGACTTCAGAGAGATGGAAAGAATTATTGACAAACACCACTTACGTCAGTACTCAGGAGTTTACGATATGAAACGACTGACAAACTACATTCTGTCAAAACTTTCAAAATACCCCTTCAAAAAGTATCCTTCAAATACTCTGCTCGTTTGTGACGACTTCTCCGGAAAAGGTTTAGTGTCAAAGCCTGACTCACCATTAGCTAACATCATAACTAAAGTCAGACATTACCATTTAACTGTAGCAATACTTATGCAAACATGGCGTTTCCTTGCTTTAAACATAAAACGTCTCATAACTGACTTCGTTATCTTTCAAGGTTTCTCACGCTATGATATTGAACTCATTTGGAAACAGTCAGGTATAACATTACCTTTTGAAGAAATTTGGGAAGCATATAAGTCTCTCATCTCTCCTCGTTCATACCTTGAGATTCATATCATGACTAATACCATTAAAGTCAAAAATATTCCATGGGAACGACCAACATTGTTTTAAAGTTTAACCTTCAATTGACTGATGGTAAACAAATTCCATGCATCTCTGTCGCCATTTCTGTTAATATTTTTGCTGTCATTCATATCATCCACTTCCCCATCCGTTAGCTTTTGAGGATATGCGTTAGAATAGCTGTTCTTAAATGAAGGCTTTTCACCTTTGAGAGCATAAACTCTATAACTTTCTGCATACTTTATGTTTGAACCTCCTGAGCCATCATTGACATAAATTTTTATAGGCTTCCACCTTTGTTCATATTCCTGCTTCTTCCCTTAGCTCTTTTGTTCAGTAGTTCTACATCTTTATACACAGCACCTGTCTCAGTGAATTCAACAATATTTTCATTCGTTAGCTTTACATTCAAACCCTTGTCGAGTATATTGTTCATTTCATACATATAAAAGGTTTTTATTCTATATGAAATGAGAAGCAAATCCATCTTAGCTGGTGCCGTTAATGTTCCAATTGAACCAACATCAAATGTTGACTCACGAACGACAAACAATATTGTCATAAAGAACTATAGTTCAGAGTGTTTGAAAGAAAAAGAACCAGAGCTGAAATCCGTGAATTTAAACACAGCTTCAAACGCTAACGCTACATCAGATGTTAAGTTAGAGTATCCACCACTGGACCAAATTCTTTCAAGAGAAGCCAACGACAACCCTACACAAATGTTCAAACAAATCCTTCAGATAACGTAGACCATTACCTTCTTCAGTTATACCAAACAATTTTACTCAAAGACGATAAGAAGCTTTTGACAAATCTTATAAGCAAAAACCAAATAATTTTAACAAAGGAGGACCTTGAAAATGTTATATCACGAATAACAGGGAAACAATGTGTCATTGACTATCTCGACCCTGAAATCGAATGCTGTGGTCAAACTCCACTATTCATGAAAATAGGTAACATCCGCATCATTGAAACACCAGGAACTACAGGAGTTGAGTTTAAGTATAAATATTTCGAACGAGTATACAAAACTTTCAACAGAATATAAACTTTGTTTGAAATATGTTTTAGTAAATTAAAGCAGTCAGGACCTTCGGTCTTGGCGCTTTGCGCCGTCAGTCAAAAAATTTCAAGTTAGCAATTTGTATATCTATCCAAAAACTTCTTCAACAGTATCGAACTCATCTTCATAATGCAAACCTAATCTTATTGACTTGGTGCAGTTTCACTAACACAATATTTTTCTGTTCTCTTGACTGACATAACTAACTCATTTGTTTCATCAAACAGCAACAACCAAAGTTCATGACCTAATACATAACATTCATACTTTATATTTTTAGCTCTGAGTTCTCTTGTAAGCTGTTGCATTTAATATTTTCTAAAAAGTCAACTTCAACAGTCATTCGCACTGGTGCCTTCAGTTCTACAGGCTCTCCTTGAAAGTCAACAAGTCTGAATTGCATGTCTTTCAAATTATGAGGACTAATGCGAACCCATTTACCTAAATGAGTTGCTATGACAGGAACGTTTGGAATGAACATTGAATTTACTTCATAACAGAAAGACTTATATTCTACTGAACCTTTACTATTAACTCCTGAAATACCTGTGACATTAGCTATTTTAGACTCAATGTACAAACAATTACCATAACATACGTATGGAACAGATTTCATCTCAATCGTTTTGTCAACACTTTTCAAAGGAAATGTCATATGGTATGCTCCCAGAAGCAATTGAACTCTATGACTCATTCGTGTTATCTTAAACTCCTTCGCATAACTGAACTTCAATGTTCCCTCAGAAGAGAGTTCGACATCTATGTTGTCAATAGTTTCTTCATTTATGAGAGTATCTATGACTCCAGCAATTTTATCTATTCTATACTCTGCTCTGTTAGGAAATGTTATAAACTTCTTTGTCATCTATTTCAATCTCTATGAAATCTGTTCATCTGTTATGACAAAAGTTGCGATAGTATTGAAGTCAACAACTCTGAAAGCAAGTGCTTCATTCTGAAGACCTAAGTTTGTTTGTAGCTTTACTGTCCCGTATTCGTTTGGGTCTGTACTTTGCAAATAGAACAACATTTTATTCTCATTAAAATATGACTATTGCTGCATATGCGTATGAAACAAATGAAGCAAGAAGAGCACATGAACTAGTAAACGAAAACTCAACTTTAACCATTGAAGGCAATGATTTAGTCATTGACGATGGAAAAACTAAAAAAGTCATTGATTTCGATACTTTTAACACTTATGACCCATTCATTACAACAAGCAAGGTTCCCATCATAAATGATGGAACGGTGCAATATATAAATTCTACAGTAGATGCCTCATTAGTGAAAGTACTGAATGTTCTCATTGAATTGTTAAAGAGCTTTCGATTTGACGACAACATTAAATGCCTAAAGAATTTAGTCATGAATGAGAAACAAATTCTTGGCGTTGCTGGTAGCAGTAATGATGTACACCTTATGACATTAGAATATTATAACGAACATAAAGATGAACTGAAAGGAGAGAAGGGTGACACCGGACCACAAGGAATACAAGGAATACAAGGACCTCAAGGAATACAAGGAATACAAGGACCTCAAGGCGAAAACGGTTTGGATGGAAAGGATGGAAAGGATGGAAAAACTGCTAAATCATGGATATGGGACCTTATAAATACTGGTTAATAGCTGCTTCATATGGAGTTCTTCAATACCAAATCGGAAAGATATGGGCAGTACTTGGTGAAGAAGTTTTAGATGACGTTAAAAATGCTTTGAACTTCATTTCAAATGGTTCGGATACTATTAAAACTTTATCTGGTTGGATGCAAGAAACAAGGAGTCAAATAGATACTGTAAGACGTATAGCAAACAATGCACGTACGAGATTGGATACTTTACGAGAAGCACAAAATACACTAAAGGAAGCAAATGATATTCTTGGCTCAGTATCAGACATGCATGAAGATTGGCTTAAAGGTGACAAATCTTTAAAAAATCACAGTCAGTCTATTGCTGACTACAAGAAAAGTATAGATTTTTTACATAGTGCTATGGACGTACATGATGGAAGCATAAGGAACTTACTTAATGCTAACAATAACTTACCAGGAACTATTAAAGCATTTATAAAGTCCTTTGTAAAACCCGGTGCTCTAACATTTAGGTCTTTGAGAGCAAGAGCATTGAAGTCAAGAGATGCAGAAACTCCAACAGAAACTCCAGAAGGAACTGAAACAACAGAAACTCCAGAAGAACCACCAAAACCAACAGCTAATGAAATATTGTTCGAATATTTCCAAGGTACTCTGTTCTCATTGCATACATTCAAGAAATACTTAAGAAAGCAGACTTGACTTTAGGAGATGATGAAAGTTCTGTATATCTTTCGTTCCAGTTTCAAATAGCAGAACTTTTGAGACAGATATGCTTAATGTATGACAACATCTCTGATTTCACAAGATATGATGACGACCATGACCCCGAACACGGTGAAGAAGAAGTTTTACAAACATCCATTAAGACAGGAAAGGTTTTAACACAAAGTCTCATTATTGACACCAAAGATGGCGAAGTGGACGTTCTTCAAGAGCTGAAGAAAAATACTTCTTCGGGAGGTGGTGGTAGGCATGAACTTGAAATAAATGAGATAGAAGAGAAATTAGCCGAAAAAGCAGATAAAAACCACGTTCATTATATAACTTCAGATGAACAGATTATAACGGACTATCATGGATATTTAACACGAAGTGATGAAGCGAAGACAAAAAATGTTAATGAAAGAAGATATAAATACATTCGTGCTAAAGGTTATGACATAAGCTGTACTGTACAGTATGATGTAGCTAAAGCACCAGAAGCATTTGGTTATACCGGTGAAATTTATGCCTCTACTTTCAATGTTAACGGTGTATTAGTTGAACCAAGATTTACTTTGAGAGTTAAGTCAAAAATAACGTTTGAAGATGCTATTAAAAGTAAAGCTGACAAAGTTGAACTTGACGCAACGAACAAAGTTTTGAAATCTCATAAACACAATATCTCCGATATAAATGAACTTCAAACTTCTTTAGACAGTAAAGCCGACAAGAACCATACACATAAATCCTTCACTACTGTTAGAGCAGACGACATAATATTGAACTTTGACCTTGGTTCAAGTGCACCATTAGAAAATCCAAGTACAAGCGTAAAAGATACTCTTAACAATTTAGATAAGAGTTGCAGGAATATCGAAGATCATGCCAGAAACTTTGAAGCATATGAACTACCAACAATGTTAGATAAGAAAGCAGACAAAACAGAGCTTCAAACATTAAAGACAGAAATACTTCAAACATTATATCCTATAGGTTCTATTTATACGTCAATGAATTCAACAAATCCAGAAACAGTTTTAGGTTTTGGTATGTGGGAGCAGATTGTAGATAAATTCTTATACTGTGCGAACTCTTCAAAGCAAACAGGAGGTTCGAAGAAAATTACTGAAGCAAACCTTCCACCGCACACTCATACAGGAACGACAAACTTTTCTGGCGACCATAGCCACTCATTACGAGACCATCCATTATACAACTCAGAATATAAAGCTGGCAATGACGTTTTATCTCCAGATTATAACCATTCAGCAAAAAAGACTTTTCGACAAACTGAACCAGGAGGAAATCATTCACACACTTTCACAACAAATCCAACAGGAAGTGGAGCAGACTATATGCCACCATTTGTGACTATATTCGCATGGTACCGCGTTCAATGAACGCGCTTGAGCCTGCTTTGCGGACTTACCGTCTTGAATAAAATCTTTAACTTTACATAAATGAGCTTGAAAGAAGTATTCGAACAACATCCATGGAGGTCATTTAAGAAGTTCAATGAAGCTGCAAAAAGTTGGGGATTTACTAACAGAGCTGAAGTGAAAAGGTTCTTTGACAAAAATGTTGTACATCAAACAAAAATAAACCCTTACGACTACTTTTTACCAATTTACTCCAACGCTCCTGACGCATACCAATTTGACACTCTCATTCAAAGCAGAAAAGGAGGACATAAACCATTCCTCATCTTCATTAATGTTAACACTCGTAAAGCATATGCATATCCAATGAAAAATAAAGGAACTCGTGAAGTGTTAAGAGTTTTACAAAAGTTTGTAGCAGAACATAGCCCAAGTACTTTAACATCAGACCAAGACAGTGCATACCTCAGCAATGAAATCACAGATTTTCTCATTAAGCATAACATAACTCACTACACTACTGAAGACCATAACCATAACATACTCGGCATCATTAACCGCTTCATAAGGACTCTCAGAGATTTAAACCAAGAGCGAGACTTTACCGAAGAAACAATGAAACATTTTCTCGAAGTATATAATTCCTCAACACATTCTACAACAGGACATACACCAAATTCAATGACACAACAACAAGAAGAAAAGTATATACAAAAGAAACGAAGCCAAACACAAAATATCAGAAATTCAACGCAATTTACCCTCATTCCTGGTACAAAAGTTCGTGTAGTTCTTGACGACAAGCCGTTGACAAAGAAACGTTTAAGGTTAAGTCGAAATTATTATATCGTAGACTCTACGCAAGGTAATGGATATCTTATAAAAGCTGCCGACGACTCCATTGCATTTTACCCTCGACATAAATTAGTCGAAAGTAGTAATGGCAAACTTGCTGAAACCATTGACGAAGCAAAGCGAGGAGTGGTTATTGAAATACTTGGCTATAACATAAACGATGACACTTATAAAGTAAGATATGAAGGAGGCGTTGAAGATGTTATACCATCTAAGAACTTGAGAGAATCTAAACCAACTCATCTGGGACCATTAGAGCGGGAGTACTGGAAAGACAAAAATATGCCAGAAAGAATAAGAAAATTCTTCTAAACTTTTTCATTAGATGTAAATCAGACATGAATGAGAACAGTCATGATATCATTAATGTTTTCATAAATTTACACCAAAAATAATGTTTAGGGTAGATGGTTAGATCTAACCTCTTTTTTCACCTCTTTTTTCACCCTAGCCGCTTAGCAGCTCAGATTGCTTTAGCTTTCTCGTGAATTTTCATGAATTTTCATGAATTTTATATATTAATGTTTTCGCTAAGCCACTTTGTGCCGTCAGTCAGTCAGTCAATGAAATTTACACCAAAAATAATGTTTAGGTGAAGAGGTGAGATCTCACCCGTTTTTTCACCTGTTTTCTCAACCTCATGAATTTTCATGAATTTCCTTAAGATAGAAAAAATAAAGTTAGTTTTATTTTATTTATTTTTTTATTTTGTATGTAAGATATGATTTCAGGGATTTTTTTGACGAAGTGTAAATCTTCACTTCGTCAAAAAATAACAGTTATCTAATGAAAAAGTGTCATTTTTTTCATTTGACGAGAATGTCGGGTAGAAGGTTAGATCTAACCTGTTTTCTCACCTCTTTTTTCACCTCTTGAATTTTCATGAATTTTCCCGAAATAAAAAATAAAGTTAGTTTTATTTTTATTTATTTTTTTTTATTTTGTATAAAAGATATGATTTCAACAATCGGCACAACAACACTTCAAACAACAACAGCACCAAACTCGTTAGTCATGAATCCAACATCTATGTTAGTAGAGATGAAAAACTTCATTCCTTCTTCATATACTTTCGAAACAGAAATCCAGAAGATAAAGCAAGAACTTTTAACAAGTAATTTAGACTGTAGTGCGAAAGATGAAACAAATGAACAGTATCTTTATGAAATGCAGGACATTATTGACCATTTGCCTAAATTGCCTGAAATCCAACAACAAAAGCTCACTATTCCTGAATTCGATGAAATAGAAGTGAAACCAACTGACTCAGTAGAAATAAAGAAGTTCATACGAAAGGTAAACTATGAATTCCTTGGTTTTCATTGCAACCATAAGGTTATGGACAAAGATTGCGACATGGTATATAAGAATGTTTCTGACATATATAAATCTGAAGAATTTAAGACCTACGACAACTTTGTTTCGTTAGTTGCTGAATGTGTTTGGGAAATAAGAGATAAAGATAGAAGAGGTAAGGTATGGAACAAACAAATAAGACCAACTGCTTCAGATTTAAAGAAAACCATTGACGCTTTAGTTGTTTTAGCTGGTTTTATTTCAATGTATAACGCAAAAATGAATCCGCAATGTTCTAAATGTAAAGCGGCAATTAGGAAATATAACTACTCCGTCAAAGAGATAGAAAGAATGAGAAACGACTATGCAGACTTAAAGAAAGAAGCAGAAAAGCCAGCAGAAGATAAAATGGACATGTTAGCATTTCTGAACAAAAACTATCCAACAGCTGACGATTTCCTTCTATCTGACGTCAAGAAGAAGTATAAAGAAACTTTCGGCATTGTTAAAACATTCGATATCCTCAGCGAAGAAATAGAAGCTACAAAACTGTTTAGGATTTCAAATATACATCGTACAATTCATGTAAAACGGTTATAAATAATGAGGTGAGAAAACAGGTGAGAAAACAGGTGAGATCTCACCACTTCACCTAAACATTATTTTTGTCTGATTTACGCTCATTACGAAGAAGTCCTGACAAAACATGTACGATGAAATCATGAAAATTCATGAGGTGAAAAAACAGGTGAGAAAACGGGTGAGATCTCACCTCTTCACCTAAAATATATTTTTGCTGAATTCAGCACAAAAATCATGAATTTCCTTAAGATAGAAAAAATAAAGTTAGTTTTATTTTTATTTATTTTTTTATTTTGTATGTAAAGACATATATGTCAAACATTGAGTTTGAAACAGTTAAAAAGATAGACAATGACACCAAAGTGGTTAGAATAGGTGATTTAAACGTAAGATACTCAAAGAAATACAACAAATATTCTTTGTCAGACATTATAACACCATCTGGAAAGAAAACAAACGACTGGGTTAGAAATGCTTCAACTCAGAAAATTTTGACAAGAAATCCTGAGCTTATGATATCAGTAAGATTCTATGGAACTACAGCATATCTCATCGACAAAAGTCTTATACCAATAGTTTTGTTATGGTTAGACCCAGTTGTTGGATATAACTTCATAACTTATGGTTCATTCGATATGGAACGTTGCAGTGAAGGCTTACTTTACATCGTTCAGAAACCGAAGGACTTCAATACAAAAAGATATAAGATAGGAAGAACATATAATATAACTCAAAGATATGACTCTACAGTCAATAGAGTCAAAGTTGTGTTCGTTAATGATATGAGAGCTGCTGAAACAGAACTACTTGAAAAGTTTGAGAAAATGTATGGTGCTCCCACGAAAGGTAAAGAAACGTTTGAAGTAGATGAGATAGATAAAGCTATAAAATTATTTGACGAAGTTGCTGAAAAATACATGTAAAGCGTTTATTTTTGGTCTTTTGTGAAAGTCAGAAAATAAAGTTAGTTTTATTTTTATTTATTTTTTTATTTTGTATGTAAAGACAGTAATGTCAAATCAGAGAACACAACAACTGCTATCGTTCATGAAGCCATAAATGAAGATACGAATAATACAGTATAACAAACAGTTACGTCTCATTCGTTCAGTCAAAAGATGATATGTATCAAATGCAAAGTATAATGAACGCTCTTCGTTCTACAAAGCAAGCATATCATTGGTTTGAAAACCAACAGGCAAAAGAACTTTTAGAAGAATTTCCTCATATGATTGCTTCCTCGGAAAACCGAGGGAAGAGATTCCGTACGAAAATCGCAAGAATTTGGCACCTGGTTTGAAAGGTTATTATGTTCATAGACTTTTAGTAAATGCTGTAGCAATGTGGGCTTCACCTCGTTATGCTTGTTATATTTTCATGATGTTAGATGAACTATATAAAGCAGAACGTGGAGAGATGGAAAAGAAACTTCAAGCAAAAGATGAAGTCATTGAATCCAAAGACAAAAGCATACAGAAAAGAATACCGCGTTCAGTACCAAAAGGAAAGGAAAAAAGCTATAAGTATATGATTTACGCTGAAGAGATGGAGAAAGAAGAAGATAAAGATATGGTTATGTTGCATTTAGTGAGAAGAAACAACAAGAGCTTTTATGACCTCGCTAAAATATATAAATCTGACAGAAACTGGTTCTATCGTGAAAACTTACCGATTTCAATGACACCGAATGAGCAAATAAAGGAAATTGTCAAAAGTACTCTTCCTCAAACACACTATGATATTAAAGGTTGTACAATTCTTACCTTCAAAGAAGACTTACCATTACTGAAGGAAAAAATAACAGAATATTTCGATAACTTCAAAGAGGAAGAATAAAAAAATCTAAGCTAATTTTATTTTTTTATAAAATTTTATCTCATATGAAAGAACATGAATTTAGAATATTCGGAACTCATGACAGAAGAAGAGAACGAACAACATGTAAAAGATTATGCAAAATTTCTGAAGACATACAAAGCATTTAAACAATATCTAAATGCTTCTAAAGATTATGCAAAATTTCTGAAGGTATATAAAGCTTATGAAAAAGCGTATGAAAAGTTTATACATTGGGGAATCGTTGTAAAATATCGATATGAAGACTAACCAAAAATATATTTTTGCTTAAATAACTTCAGGGTCTATTTCTTCAACCATTTCACTTCCTTCGTCAATGTCAATAGAAGCTTCTTCAACCTTTGGTAAGAATTTCTGTATAACATCTTTGTTCGTTATTGTCTTCAGAGATGAAGGATAATATTTCACAGATGTTTCACCCTTCTTATATT